TTGTCCGGGACAAATCTTCTATACTTTTTTTTACATGGAGTAACCAGATTTGATGTACATGAACATCTTAGGAAGGCAAAGTGCACGAATTAGGTCGCTGTGATTTATGACACGGCCTTTACTTTTCAAAATGTTTGTACTGTGCATATCTTCTATAGTCTTTCACCTGGAGAAACCTATTTTGGTATACAAGAACATCTTGGGATGGTGGAGTGCAGAGTGCAAGATGAAGTTCACTGTGACCTATGACTTGACCTTTGACATTTACTTTTGAAAATGATTGTCCAGTGCATATCTTCTATACTATTTCACCTGGAGTTACCAGATTAAGTGTTCAATGACATCTTTGAATGGAGGAGTGCAAAGTGCAAGAATGCGTTCACTGTTACATTTGACGTTTAATTTTGAAAATGTTTGTCCGGGGCATATTTTTATACTCTTTTACCATGAGAAACCTATTTTGGTGTACAAGGATATCTTGTGATGGCGGAGTGTAGAATGTAAGATGAAGGTCACTGTGACTTATGACTTGACCTTTGACATTTACTTTTGAAAATGTTTGTCCGGGGCATATCTTCTATATTATTTCACCAGAGTAACAAGATTTGGTATAGAAGGACATCTCGGTGGAGCGGAGCGCAAGAAGTAGGTCACTATGATCTAACTGTGACCTATTTATCCTGACACAATTGTACTGTTTGTTAAATATAGAAATCATTACCGGTGGGGTAGCTATTGATTGACTTGCTATCCTTTGCCTTGTTACTATATGTGGTGTGCCGTACACCTTATTATATATAACTAATTGGTGTAATGATAAATTTGCCCTCATTACGGAGTGTGGAAAAGTAAAAGTTCAACTGTGACGAATATTTCAAGGTACACAACAGTACAATGTACACGGTATCCAGGAAATGTATTTTAGTCCAAATAAAACATGATTTCACTAAAACACGACACCCAGGTATAAATTGTCGATAACACTGAACATTACTATACATGTAACTTATATATTCTTGTTGGGAAATATGAAATTCAGAAATCTGTGAGGGAACACCTACAACCACAGAAACACTTTTGTGGGGAGGGGAAGAGTGAAAGACAATCACAATGCTAATGTAGGAAAATCTGTAAGAACAGAAAGTCTGGATACACCAGGAATGTGTATACACCTGTAAGGATATACTCACAGAGGTCCTTTGTTCACAACTTAAAAATGATTCAGACCCCAACCTTAAAGTTCACACCTTGGAAATGATTCAGACCCCGACCTTAAAGTTCACACCTTGGAAATGATTCAGACCCCCACCTTAAAGTTCACACCTTGGAAATTATTCAGACCCCGACCTTAAAGTTCACACCTTGGAAATGATTCAGACCCCGACCTTAAAGTTCACACCTTGGAAATGATTCAGACCCC